GGTTGTAATGACTACAACCTAGGCTAAGGTCCGCTCCCTTGACCTTAGCCTAGGTCCACCAATTATTTAGTTGACTTTCGTCTTAATTTCATTAGTAGGCTTTCTGGTTATCTTCTTGAATTCGGTCTCATCATGGAGGATTTCGTTTAGTTTGGCAATATAAATCAGTCGGGATGAGCACGAAGGCTGCGGTTTATAATTTATATTGTTCAAATTAATTTGGGCTCAAATTAGATTTATAATAATAATATTTTATTTAGGCAATAAATATCCCGCAGAAAGTTTCTCGTTCTGCCATAGGCTCGCGGTATCTCGTAAGCAGTAGCCCCCAAAATGGTGTAAATAAAGCAGATATTTTATTTATTAAGGCAAAAGTATATACATAGGATTCATAGGAAAGGCAAGTACAATGCATGAAGCCTCTTAATACGCAGAGCGTTTCGGGTTGAATGAACATATTTAGACTTGAACCTTTCTATCTCAAGTCATGTAGCTCGTCAAATTTAGCATCAGCCTTTAATCAACGACATGTTTATTCAGACACACCAGTGTAAACAACTTTGGTGTTTTCAAGTTACAAATTTAAAACTGTTAATGGTGTTAGTATTGGCCGCGTCAAGGCATGGTTGTTTACTAAAATTTGGCGCGCAGACGAGTGAGAAGGACGCAAGCCACTAATGAGTGGTGTCGGCTACACGTCACAGCCTACACAAGACGATTCCCCAGAGTATTTTGAAACCCACATAACCTAACCTACCTTAACCCAATCCAATCCATTCCAACCCAATCCAATCTAACCCATTCCAATCCAACCCAACTGAGTCCATTGCATCCTAACCTAAGCTAATATAGCCTTACATAACAAGCTTTGAACAAACAGAAAATGAGCTTCGTCGGATCGTCTTGTGTGGGAAACGACCATACTCTGTGGTGTCAGGAAGTTGTGTTAAGAAACAATGTGTTGGGCAAGTGTCACTTCTGATTTCCTTTATCGCTAAATCAATGTTGAAATTTATATTCACCACACCTAATAGTAACCAAACCAGAGCATGGTTAATTATTTGTTAGACTTTTTTTTAATTAAAATACATAGCGATTAAAGACCCTATACACCTCATGGTCATCAGTAAGTATAAAGTGCTACAATGATGATTGATGAAGATTCAGCCACCTAAAAGGTGGCACGGGCATGAATAGCCCGTAAGTGGTGGCCCTTTTGAGCCATTACCAGTATCAATAGCTGATAATGGAGATCTGTGGAGGTGCGACTGCACCCTGCGTGACGGGAGATGTCTCCCGTGGAAGATCAAAGATTGATTGATGAAGATTAAGCCACCCAAAAGGTGGCACGGGCATGAATAGCCCATAAGTGGTGGCCCTTTTGAGCCATTACCAGTATCAATAGCTGATAATGGAGATCTGTGGAGGTGCGACTGCACCCTGCGTGACGGGAGATGTCTCCCGTGTAAAAAAAAGTGCTACAATCCCCTGCACATATTTATAATCAAATCAATATAAACAAAAACTGTATACTAATTATAAATGACAAATGCCATTTATCATACAAATGCCAGCACACACGGTGAGGAGAGTGGTTCCTAGTTACATTACCAGCACTACAAAGCCTTAGTAAAAAAAATCGGGCAGATAATCTTGAGTTAGTTGCTGAAATCAAAGAGCTGTGAGAGTACTAACCAACCAGGGAAGAGTCGTCAAATTTCCCTCCCATGTTGAAATCTGTGGAAATAAACGAGCAGATGTACAGGCTGCTGAAGGCACCGATGGACACCGTATTAAATAGGGTTATTTCAAGGTATATTGCAGTAAAATATGCGTTCAATATAACAACCATGATACAAAATGATAGCAGTGATTACAATGGTGAAGTTCTATGGCTTAGGTACATATATTGGGGGATTGGGTAGCACAAGATACTGTGCAAGTTTAAAGCACTAGGTTTGGTTTAAAGGACTAGCACTATGGTTAGAACTAGGGCGGTATGTGATCGCCTTCGAACCTCTATCTTTTATTGTTGATAAATTAAAACATCTTTGGCAAATGCTTTCGCAGTGGGTTGTCTTGCGACAATCCAAGAATTTCGCCTCCAGCGTCGCATTACAAATGTCCTCCGCCTGTTCCTACTAGTCATTATCTCAGGTTCCGAAAACCAATAAAATAGAACTGAGGTCCTATTCCATTATTCCATACATAGACATTCAGGTCATTAAATCCTGCTCTGAGCACTCCATTTTTTTTTCCAAAGTAAACGTGCCGGCCACTCTGGACACTCGATGAAGAGCACCCCGTGCAGCCGGCGGGGCTAGTACAATTCCCAGTCAACAATGTAGCACTCGGTGTGTACAGTTCTAATCGACCCAAAAGACGCTACAGCTTCGACACAGAGCAGACAGCAGACTACGACTGCATCGAGCCGCCACGCTCTCGCTCCCCGAGTTCAGACACTCACAATTCCCAATTGAGCCGCCACGCTCTCCCACATAGAGCTCCACGACTCCGGCCTCACTCAGCTCTGCTCCAGGCTTCGTCTCAACGTCTACGACACTGTTGTATCCAGGACTACTAAATAAATATGAAACTCACTAAACACTGTGTATCTAATCTACCCAACAACGTAACATAATCGTACGTTAACGTACGATTGGTAATGTACTATAGTAGCGTGGTCTATGGTGAGCGCGTAGTGGACTTACCTGGCACAGGAGTGGTGCCTGTGCCATGCTGGGTCACGTGCAGATCATTTGTCCCTCTTGGCCCTCTCCAGGCCTGCGCGGAAAGGCTGCGCGCGGCCGCCGTTCGCCAATCAACGCACAGTCCTGCCTAGGATCTGAAATGTCTCCCTTGGTGGGATCTTAGAATGTGGTTCCCTCCACAATTACACTACAAGTAAAGGAATGCGAACGTTCCAGTGAGACCTCATACTTCTGGTATATACAGACCATTGATGCTTTCTCCTCCATTAGTGAGACTGGTGGCATCAAATGGTGGATGGCCTTGTGAGGTCAGACACAAGGCCATGTGTCTGACCTCACAAAGCCATCCAACAACTTAGTTTGTTGAAGGGTCACAACTTTACAACTTAGTTTGTTTATAATATATATAAATGATTTAGATTCAGGTTTGAGTAGCAACATTTGCAAATTTGCCGATGATACGAAAATCGGTAGGGAAATTAATTCGGAGGAGGACTCACTATCACTTCAAGTTGATCTAAATAGGGTTTTGAAATGGTCATAGGATTGGCAGATGCAGTTTAATGCTGATAAATGTAAAGTTCTGAGGTTAGGTAATGATGATAGTTACAAGATACGAGCTAGATGGTGTTGAGATTGCGAAGTCGGATTGCGAAAGGGATCTGGGAGTTATGATTAGTAAGAATTTAAAACAAAAGGATCAATGCATAAATGTTCGTAATAAGGCAAATCGGACACTCGGATTTATTAATCGCAGCGTTAGTAACAAGACACCTGGTGTGGTTCTCGAGCTATATCTTGCTCTAGTTAGGCCCCATTTAGATTATGCAGTTCAGGTTTGGTCGCCATATTATAGAATGGATATAAATTCACTTGAACGTGTCCAGCGTAGGATGACTAAGTTAATTCCCCAAATTAGAAATCTTTCATATGAAGAAAGATTAACAAAGCTTAAGTTGCATTCACTGGAAAGGTGAAGAGTTAGGGGTGACATGATAAAGGTTTACAAGTGGGTGAATGGACATAACAAAGGGGATATTAATAGGGTATTAAAAGTATCAACACAAGACAGAACACGAAACAATGGGTATAAATTGGATAAGTTTAGATATTGGAAAGACTTGGGTTAATACTGGTTCAGTAACAGGGTTGTTGATTTGTGGAACCAATTGCCGCGTAACATTGTGGAGGTGGGGTCCCTCGATTGTTTCAAGCATGAGTTGGACATGTATATGAGTGGGATTGGGTGGTTATAAATAGCTGCCTCGTATGGGCCAATAGGCCTTCTGCAGTTGCCTTTGTTGCCTCCCAAAAATTGTGTGGGTCAGAATGTGACCCTGGCATGCTGTTTCTTCTTGAATTCTGGTAACCATGACCAGCCTAAGTCTATCCCTATCCTCTTAAATAATACATCATATTTTGACGTTAAAATCCTCATTAGACAAAATACGATGTAATATAGAGTACTGTATATCGTAGCGGTTCACAAACATTGATGTTTTCTCTGTGTGGGTTACCCAATTAGGTTAGGTTCGGTCAATTTAGTACAGAATTTTTGTTAAATTGTGACAAAGCTTCCATTTAGATTATGCAGTTCAGTTTTGGTCGCCATATTATAGAATGGATATAAATTCACTTGAACGTGTCCAGCGTAGGATGACTAAGGTAATTCCCCAAATTAGAAATCTTTCATATGAAGAAAGATTAACAAAGCTTAAGTTGCATTCACTGGAAAGGCGAAGAGTTAGGGGTGACATGATAGAGGTTTACAAGTGGGTGAATGGACATAACAAAGGGGATATTAATAGGGTATTAAAAGTATCAACACAAGACAGAACACGAAACAATGGGTATAAATTGGATAAGTTTAGATTTAGGAAAGACTTGGGTAAATACTGGTTCAGTAACAGGGTTGTTGATTTGTGGAACCAATTGCCGCGTAACATTGTGGAGGTGGGGTCCCTCGATTGTTTCAAGCATGGGTTGGACATGTATATGAGTGGGATTGGGTGGTTATAAATAGGAGCTGCCTCGTATGGGCCAACAGGCCTTCTGCAGTTGCCTTTGTTCTTATGTTCTTAAATCAAGAGGATGGGTCTGAACCATTACTCCGGAAAAGTTAGGTGAAGCTAACCTCCAAACATCTGGCCTCCAACTTTTGACTGATAAACATACAAAAACAAACATTTTCTCTTATAAATACAGTATAGATAGATGTATATGTGTATGTAAAATGTGCATAGGTGATATGTTTATTGCAATAATTAATGTTAGAATATAATTTTTCAGGTGCATTCCTCATCCCTTACCTGATCATGATGGTACTGGAAGGGGCTCCACTCTTCCTGCTGGAATTGGGCATCGGCCAGAGATTACGGCAGGGTTCTTTAGGAGTATGGAACCTCATCTCTCCATGGTGGGGTGGTCTTGGTGTGGCCTCCACCATTGTGTCCTACCTAGTGGGACTCTATTATAATGTCATCATCGCTTGGTGTTTCTATTATCTTTTTAATTCATTTAGAGTAAGTATTTCACAGGTTAAATTTATATATATATATATATATATATATATATATATATATATATATATATATATATATATATATATATATATATATATATATATATATATATATATATATATATATATTCAGTGAGGCTTTTCTTACCATACAATTTTTTGGGGGTTATATATAATCATTATCTTCATTATATCAAGTTAATATTAAGCATGTTACAGCCTTTGCAAATAATAATTTGAAAACATAAATGAAATAAGTTACTGTATATGCATACAAATTAATTATACAGGGTGGCCCAAAAGTTAATTGCCCATAATACATTTATTAGCACAATCAAATTAATTTTCATCTATTGATTTATAATAAATACTGTGGTGGAAGCTAATTCTAAATTAAGTTAAATTCTTTCAAATATATTATGCATTCATGTATTAACCCTTAAATGGCTCGCCTAATTAAAAGTCTGCATCATCGTGTACATGAAAGATATAATTAAAAACATAAAAAATGCTGTAGCTTTTGGTGATTTGAGCACAGGAGGTGATCGCAGATAATAATTGGAGCCATTTAAAGGTTAATGCAGTTTAATGAAAATACTAAAAAGTACTATTTTGCAGTCACCGTTGCCATTTGGAGTGTGTCCAAATGAAACGATAGAACATCTTAACATCACACTACCGGTAGAGGAATGCGAACTTTCCAGTGAGACCGCATACTTCTGGTACAGACAGACCATTGATGCTTCCCCCTCCATTAGTGAGACTGGTGGCATCAAATGGTGGATGGCCATGTGTTTGACCTTCTCGTGGCTTCTTGTGTGGCTGTGCATCATGAAGGGTATCCAGTCATCAGGCAAGGTGAGGCTCGTGACTTGTAATCTGGCAAAATTAGGCTTGTGACTTGTGATCTGGCATACTTAGGCTAGTGCTTTGTGATCTATCAAGGTGAGCTCCTGCCTCGCCTTAACATATCACAAACCCAGTAGCCTAAATTTGTCTAAAGTACCTATCCTCCTGCATGCCTTTCAAACATGAACCATGTTGAATCATCTGTGATTTTTTATCTGGGGAACTAGATTATACATGGAGAGGGTTCTAGGAGTTGTTCTACAATCCAAGAATCTTAATATCTAACAATACTATGATATTTAGGAAAAATACCATGATTGTTAGATCATACTATAGTATTTCAAAAAAATATTATGATCCAACAATCATAGTAATTTGTAAGTAAACTTTCTTGAAAAGTTTGTCCCTTGACTTTATATGCTACTTTACCTTTGGTATAAATAATGAACATAAAATTGTTAACTAATGTTATTAATTTTGGCAGCAAAGCAATTCAAATTAAAGTAGGTACGGTACTCTGTAAAAACTCGCACAACACGTGATTTACCACATGAACGTTTAATTGAAGTTGTGATCTCATTTTGGTAGCATAAATGTTGAAGTTTTTAATTTGAGTGCAGTGGGAATTTTGTTTCCGTGCAGTGCATGCATACGACTTCAATAGTGTAATGTGGATATTTTGCCCATTTTGACATAATATTTTCTCAACAGGTGGTCTACTTCACTGCCATTTTCCCCTACTGTATATTAATCATCTTTTTTGGCCGAGCTGTCACGTTAAAAGGAGCTGGGGAAGGACTGAAGCACATGTTCACACCAGATGTAAGTGCTATTTACATTTGTAGTTTAATATTTATTGGCTTCCTAATTGTATACAGTATTGATAAATAATTTGACAAACAAAGTTCTTGAAAATTTTATCACTTACAGTATTCACAAATACATAGTGGTAGATGATAGGTTTGGGCTTCATACTTAGAGAGTGTAAGCAAAAATACATTGGAAACTGCAAATATTTATATTTATGATAAAATGAATATAGGAGATGGGACACCATACCTTGCTGTACCTTGGTAGGACCAAGGAACTTCCCACATGGGGTGGGACCTGGATAAGGCAATGCATGATGTGGGACCAGGACCTGTTGCTCCAAGCAACAGTCTGTTGGTCCAAGCTCTCACAAGTCAAGCCTGGTCTCTGGGCTAGGTTTGGGAAGTAGAAGAACTCTCAGAACCTTATCCAGGTACAATCCAGGTTCTGAGGATGGTCTGTCTAATTACCCAAAGCTATCCAAAGCCACTCAAAGCTTCCTGGCATTACTTTAGTAATGAATAAATATGATATATTTACTTATTATAATGTTGGTGCTGAATGTAGAACATGGAAAAAAATACTTTTTCTCTGAAAAAGTATCAAAGTAACAGAAAGTATTATGTTATGTTTGGGTAGGTACAGGAGGCTGATATGCCAGCAACTTAATATCATGCCATGATATGCCAGCAATATTAATGTTGCTCTTTAGGCAACAATGTGTCTTGGATAATTCGCTCCACAACATTGTCACTTGGACCATCAACTTTCTTTGGCGTCACCAGCAGCTTATTTTCGTCTTAATTTCGTTATGAAATGATACTTTTTCAGAGTAAAAATATGTTTTTCCTTGTTCTTCATTCAGCACCAACATTATAATGAGTAAATATATCATATTTATTCATTACTAACATAATGCCAGGAAACTTTCGGTGGCTTTGAGTGGCTTTGGGTAACTGGGTAATTAGACGGACCCTCTGAGGATCAACATTCCCTTGGCCCAATCTCGGTTCAGTGCTTCCTGTGATTAGCTTTATTCTTGGACCCACAAATTGGTAACACATGCCTAGGAATTTTGACGAGGGGGATAATGGTAGGCTGTTTGAAAAGGAGTGGGGGCCCAGGATGAGGGGATGTGAGGGATGGGACCAAGAAGATTGGGATATAATGAGTAGGATGAGGGAACACAAGGAGTAGACCCAGGATTAGTGGAAACAAGGTGTAAGACCAGGATCAGTGGATACAAGATGTAAGACTAGGATCAGGTGACACAGGGGTGTGACCAGGATAAGGCAATACATGATGTGGGACCAGGATAAGGCAATACATGGGGTGGGACCAGGATTAGGCAATACATGGGGTGGGACCAGGATTAGACAATACATGGGGTGGGACTAGGATAAGGTAAGACACCCACACACAGAGACATGAATGACATACTTGTCTCTGCATGACAGAGACATTAAGACATGCAACTACACCAGTATAATCAGTGCTATCAATTTATATTATAGGTATTATGTTGAACTGAAATTATGCTACAACGTACCTATTATTACTTTTACTTTCATCAGTCGGTTTCAGAACCTGCCTGAAATGCTTTGTGTGTGTTAGTGGCTTTGCAAGAATGTTACGCTCAAACACCAATATTATATATTCTCAACCCAATGTACCTTCTTGAATATAAGTAAATAAATAAATGATACAAGAGATAGGATTAGTATTAAGGGACTTAAGGAATGGAGCTGTAACAAGGGGACAAAACATTTGAATGAGTTTGAGGAGATAAAAGGTGAAATTGTATCGATATGATGGTAGTGAGTGATTGGGAAAGATACTCTTTGAGAGAGAATATAGGCAAGCTCCATATCCAAATTTATAATATGGCACACATACATATTCATTTGTGACACGGGGTATCAGGCACACGTGCACAGTAAGACAGATTGACCAAAGAGCCAGAGCTCAACCCCCACAAGCACAACTAGGTAAGTACAGATCCATGCCTTTTCTATAAATTCATTAAAAGCAAGCTGCATGTAAAGGATAAAATCCAGAGTTTGAGAATGAGGAACAGATTCACAGAGTATGAAAAAGGAATGTGTGAAACACTGAATGAACAGTTCCATAGTATGTTTGTGCAAAATGAGGTTTTCAGAGACTTGGACACAGTGCCAATTCCAGAGAACACCATAAAATACAAAGTGGTATCTCAAGATGAAGTGAAACATTACTCAAGGGGCTAGAAAGAAATAAAGTCGTTGGACCAGATGGAGTTTTACCTTTGGTGCTATGAGAATATGCAACTGAGCTGAGCATTCCATTCCAATTGATATTCCAGACATCCTTGTGCACAAGAATCTTAGCAGATACAGTATATGGAAACGGCAAACATAGTTCCAATCTACAAAATTGGTAGCAGAGAAGACCCGCAAAATTATAGACCTGTATCCTTAACAAGCGTGGTAGTCAAAACCAAATGGGTAGAATGCCTGGAGAGTAATGACATACATAATAACACACACAGTATGGTTTTCGAACAGGAAGATCACGTGTAACAAATCTACTTAGATTTTACAATAGAGCCACTGATATTCTACAGGAAAGACATGGTTGGGTTGACTGTGTCTAACTGGACCTAAAAAAATGTTTTTGAAAGAGTCCCACTCATGTCCCAGTTTTGGAAACCAGAACATGCTGAAGCGGTGACAAGAAGAATTATGACATGGATGAAGAATTTTCTAACAGACAGGAAGATGTGGGCGGTAATCAGAGGCAATGTATCTGACTGGAGGAGTGTTACTAGAGGAATACCATAGGGTTCAGTTCTTGCTTGCACCAGTAAGGTTCATCATCTATATAAATGATCTGCAAGCAGGAATACAGAATTATTTGAACATGTTTGCTGATGATGCTAAGCTACTAGGGAAGATAAGAGACCTAGATTATTGTCATGACCTTCAAATTGATCTAGATAAAATTAGTGCTTGGAGTGCCATATGATAAATGGAATTCAATGTGAATAAATGCCACGTTATGGAATGTGGAGTCTGAGAAAAAAGACCACACACACAGTCTACAAATTATGTGGAAAGGAATTAAAGAAATCTAACAAAGAAAAAGATCTAGGAGTAGTTTTGGATAGTAAACTGTCACAAGAGGAACACACAAAGAACATTGTACAAGGTGCATATGCATCGCTTTCCAACTTCAGAATTGCTTTTAATTACATGGATGGTGAAATACTAAAGAAACTGTTCATGACTTTTGTGAGACTAAAATTGGAATATGCAGCAGTTGTATGCTGCCCTTATCTCAAGAAGCAAACTGGAGATGGCATGCTACAAAATGCCTTCCAGAACTAAAAAAACAAATGTTACAAAGAGAGGCATTAAATATACCAAAGCTAGAAGATAGAAGAAAAAGAGGCAATATGATCACCACTTACAAAATAATAGCAGGAATTGACCGAATTGATAGAGGAATTCCTGAAACCAACCTCTTCAGAAACAAGAGGAAACAGATTCAAGCGAAGGAAACAAAGGTGCTGAAAAAATAATAGAAAGTTTGGAACAAGTTTAGTGAGGTTGGTGGAGGCAAAAACCATCAGTAGTTTCATAGTGTTGTACTGGGAAGATGGGACACCATGAGCGTAACTCTCATCCTGTAACTACACTTGGATAAACTATCCTGTATCCTTGGATAAACATCCTGTAACTACACTTGGTAAACTACACTTGTCTAACAGACAGGAAGATGTGGGCAGCAATCAGAGGCACTCTATCTGGACATCTGGTATCAGTAGTTTCAAAGCGTTATATGACAGAGTGCTGGGAAGACGGGACACCACAAGCGTAGCTCTCATCCTGTAACTACACTTAGGTAATTACACACACACTTGCAAATTTTGAGCTGAACTCAGTGCAACTATTAGCTAGCCAAAACAAAGAGTTAGGCAAGGCTATGCCAAGAGAAACCTGATTGGCAACTCAAATAAAGATTAATAAAGGATTGGAAAAGTGTAAATTGGAAAAGTATCAAGAGGAAATGAAAGAAACATGTACAAGTTGTGAAAGAGAAAAAACAATTGAAGTATGTTTGGAAGTCAAAAACAGAAACTAGTAGCAAGAAACCAAAATAAGGCAAACAATTAGGAAACAACTGATTTCCAGCAATAAATTTGTACATAACTCATGTGATAGAAGTACTTGCCAAGATAGAAGCCGCCAAAAAAACATTAGAAAGTACACTTTTGCAAACAGCACAGTAGATGGTTGGAACAAACTAATTGAGAAGCTATACCAAAATCCTGAGTAGTTTCAGTCATATGACAAAGAGTACTGGAAAGATGGGACACCATAAGCATAGCTCTCATCCTGTAACTACACTTAGTTAATTACACTTAGGTAATTAAAAAACTATTTTAGTTAAAATACTGTATATAATAATAAAAAAATTATAATACACCTAGTAATACTTTTAGTATTTAAAATCTTATTATTTCAATAATATCTCAGTATTGATTATTTGTGTGTTTTGCTAATGTAGTTCATTGTTGACTGCACAGATGAGTAAGCTTCTTAACCCGACTGTCTGGATGGATGCAGCGTGTCAGGTCTTCTACTCTCTTGGGCTGGCCTTTGGTTCCCTCATTGCTTTTGCATCTTACAATCCCATGAAGAACAATTGCAAACGTGATGCCGTGTTTATGTGCATCATCACAGTATTCACAGCAACTTTTGCCACCATAGATATCTTCGCTGTGCTTGGCTTCAAAGCTGTGGCCAACTATGAGAAATGTGTGGAACAGTAAGTTGCATGATATACATTCTTTGTAGTTTTCTTTTTTCTTATAATTGTATAACAGTTATTGTCATCTATGCTTTCATATCTAATTTTAGAGGATAGCTTATAAGGTGCTGTTGAGGTAGGTGCAAAGTAGTCATTTAGTAAATATGATTTGCATGCATTATTTTAAAAAGTACTTTATTATACCACTCTGAGGAATGTACATTATTAGCTACTGGAAAAGACTAATATGTTATGAAAATAGTAATGCTGTAGTGCCACTTATTTGCTTTATATATAGGGTAATGTCACATGTCTCCATACACGGGTAACAAGAAACCTATAGCACCTTTCACCAGTACATAAAATAAACCATAAAAATGTCAGAAAGTCTTCAGATATACTCAGAAAACAAATTGAAACATGAAATTTCAAATTTTTCTTCTTAAAAGGGGAAGTTTCTCTTTCCCTTTCAGAGCGAGAGAGATCTCTGAATTAGAAGGAATACAGAGAACATATACGGCACTCATATTTACAGTAAAACATCTAAATTATTGGGACCATCTCAAAGCTCTCAAAATTTTCTCTTTGGAGAGGAGAGGAGATAGGTACCAAATAATATATACATGGAAGATACTTGAAGGCCAAGTCCCAAATGTGCATAGTAGAATAACAACATACTGGAGTGAAAGATACAGAAGGAAATGTAGAATAGAACCAGTGAAGAGTAGAGGTGCCATAGGCACAATCAGAGAGCACTGAACATCAGAGGTCCACAGCTGTTCAGCACCCTCCCAGCTAACATTAGAAATATTGCTGGAACAAAGGTGGATGTATTCAAGAGGCAATTAGATAAGTTCTTGCAAGAAGTGCTGGACCAACCAGGCTGTAGTGGATATGTGGGCCTGCAGGCTGCTCCAAGCAACAGCCTGTTGACCAAGTTATCATAAGTTGAGCCTGGCCTCATGCTGGGCTCGGGGACTAGAAGAACTCCCAGAACCCTCTCCAGGTAAGTGTCAGTTCCCTAAGCAGTTAAAGTGCCTGCAACAGGGACATACAAATGTGCTGTGCAGGATTATTCATTGTCTCTCCTCACCTGGATATGGGCATGTAGCGAGCATTGGTTCACACAGAATTTGTAGATGTAGCTGCTAGCACACAAATGGTTTCAAATGAGGATGACAGTTTGATTTATGGGAGAAGGGTTCACAGATACTGCCATGTGTATTAACATAACAATTTATTACACATTAAATTCTATGTTCATGGTTTGGGGGGTTTCTCTATTAACCTGTGAAGTACCAGTATCATATACAAAACTTATCAAACATAGTGACACGCAAGTTCCAATGAATCTTAGCCTTCTTGTGAGGCACCTTGTCTTGACATATTTTGGATGAATCACTTCACTATACTGCAGCCTAATACTGCTGTAATTACAATGGACTACAGCTGTTCCAGCCAGAATACTCGGCCATTAGTTTGCTTGCATAATTATTTACGCTTGGTATAGGTACATATGTGGTGTAATTTACAAAGACAAGTATATTACACTCACTGGCACTCATGAAAACCATTTCTTAATGCTGGACATAATAAGGTTGAATCTGGAATATTCTCCAGTCTCCAAAATTCAGTTTCCACGCTTGCAGGTGCTGGCAGGCAAATCAGGCTGGGCTATGCCTCAGAGACAAGGCATGGATGTGAGACAGTGTCTCTCCATACACTCTTTCCACATTTTTTCCTGACTATCTCCATGTCAGAAAGGCAGGCATATAAGTTAAATTAAGTTAAGTGGGGTCTTCATGCAATGAAATGACATTTCTTTGCAATGTGGGATTATGCAAATACAGTACTGTATATGTGCTGTAATGATAATATATATATATATGTATTATATATAATATGCATATATTATATGTACACATGCATATATATAATATGCATGTGTGAGTAATTTCATAATTACAATTACCTAAGTGTAGTTACAGGCCTAGAGCAATGCTCATGGTTTTGGCCTCCACCACCTCTGCACTTAACTTATTCCAACTGTTTACCATTCTGTTTTTAAAAACTGAAATTTCTAATTTTTTCAGCAACTTTGTTTCATTACTTTGAATCTGTGACCTTTTTTCTCCTTGGGTAATAAACTTCAGGGTGCCACAAAACAAGCATGTCCCTCAGAAATACATCGTTGAATGTAATGAAACACCCCTTTTGGGGCGAGTCCCAGTGGCTCCGTGATTTACTCCCTCCTTTCCAGGTTCGTTAGTTGGTGTGTGTAATCTTCATATCTGCTCTAGAACTGGCTTGAAAGGCTGGGGAAGACCTGGACCCGGATTCACAAAGGAGTTACACAAGTACTTATGAACCTGTTCATCTTTTCTCAATCTTTAGCAGCTTTGTTTATAATTATTAAACAGTTAATGAGCTCCAAAGCACCAGGAGGCTGTTTATAACAACAATAACAACAGTTGATTAGGAAGTTTTCATGCTTGTAAACTGTTTAATAAATGTAACCAAAGGCGTCAAAGATTGAGGAAAGATGTACACGTTCGTAAGTACTTGAGTAACTGCTTCGTGAATCCGGGTCCTGGAAGTCTGGGCTTCCATCGCTACTAATGGGACGTTAAGAGATTTAGCTGGATAGTCTCCAGTGCTCCCTAGTACAAGTATAGTCTCTGTACCAAATTTTAAACATTTCCTGTGGTACCAGTACCTTGAATGTTGTTTTGTCGGATTATATGATCATCTTCCCCATAGACGGCAGAATTTTATCTTAGGGGCTAACCGAGTAAGTCTGCTAAGAAACATATTTTCCATATTCACTTATAAGCCTATTCTTTTATGCTTGAATGTAAACTTATGATTCCTCCTATATTAATTCATTTATATTTCTAGGATTCAGAATGCAGAATCATAATTTACAGTAGATAGAAGAAATTAAAGTGATTCTTCATATATTTTCAGTAATATCCTGAAGTTGCAGAGCATCAATCATATTCTAGAAGCACGTACTACAGATGTCAACGTTACAATTGATAACTATGAGGAAGTCTGGCCAGTTATATTTCCCAGAATCAAGGAGTTTTATGAAAATGAAACACACAAACATATCAAGACATGTAGTGTTGCTGATGAACTCAATCAGGTATAGCTGTGGTGACATTTTCCGTGCATGATTTTGTCCTTAAATTTAGAATAATTATTAGATATCCACATTTTAAGATAATTATTTAGTATCCCAATTTTGAAATGTTAAGGTTTTCACTGTCTCGGGAAAGTCTTAAAGCTAATGCAAGTATACCAGTCACTACAGATTGTGTGTTAGCTTTGAGACTTGCCTAAAATTATGTGCCTGTTATTGACTTTGCAAGACTACAATTTTCACCAAAATGTTTGACAAATCACCAAAATTTGTACTTATATAACTCATTGTATATGCTTGCATTAACAGTATATATATAGAAAAATAAATACAAAAATACAGGTGCATAAATAAAACAATGTGATTCTGGTAGCATTTACCCACATTAGCTGCCTTACTGCAGCATAACACTACAATTATAGCCACTTTTAATGTGTGTGGGTTATATCTGGGTCTCTGTGTGTCAACCTGCTGCATCCATCATCACTGCATGCTCCAGGGAGTTGAAAGACTGACATTTTGGGAACATCAGTTATTGGAATGATGTTGAGTATTGTTCCATCCTGATTATGTGGCTTGTAAATGGCTGGAAAGTCATAGCAATTCAGTGGGCAGGAAGGAAGGGTGGATTGGGCTACTCTGTGTTGCTCACCTTTGTTACATGCAAATGGCCAATGGTGGATTTCATTCATTCCTATGGACATTAAACCATCTTTGGATGGGCACTATAAAGCTTCCAGGTCCTTCCGAATATTAATGGAGTTACATTATTGATGTGTATAAATGGAGATGAAAGGGGATATTAATAGGGGAATAGGCCTACTGCAGTTCATCTAATAGAGGCAATTGATGTTCTGGTTAACATAGATTGGAAGTAAATAGGAGATTTAAAATAGACCAGGGATAACATTATTGTACATTAGGTTTCAGGGCCACTGTTGTAACGCAAAACACACGACTCATAGACTGGCTTTTTAATCTCCTTGAGCGAAATGCTAAGACCTGGAGACGAGCAATCAATCGCTGGGATGATGGAAAACAGGTATGACTACGAGGGGCCTTTTAATCCCCTTGAGCAAAATTTTCATGGACTATAAGGCAATCACCCGCTGGGGTGACGGAAAACAGGTATGACTACGAGGGACCCCACACCATTGTAACGAAAAACAGGTATGACTACGAGTCATACCTGTTTTTCGTTACAATGATGTGGGGTCCCTTGTAGTCATACCTGTGATTTGCTTTTTTCGGCGGTCCCTCTATTTCTCGGGTGTTTTTCGAAGCGATAGGCTACGGTCCCTCTTTGTCTCAGGTGATTTCGTTAGCCCAGCGAGGGATTGCTTCTACGCCCTGAAATTTTCACTCGAGGGGATTAAACGGTCCTTCTATGTCTCAAGTGATTTTCATTACCTCGGCGAGGGATTGCTTCTACTCCCTGAAATTTTCGCTCAAGGGGATTAAAAGGTCCCTCTATGGCCCAGTCCGTTTTAGTTACCCCAACGAGTGATTGCTCGTCTCCAGGTCTTAGCATTTCGCTCAAGGGGATTAAAAAGCCGGTCTATGAGTAGTGTGTTTTGCGTTAGCCCAGTGACCCTGAAACCAAATGTACAATAACGTCATCCCTAGTCTATTTGAAATTGACTATTTACTTCCAATCTATGTTAACCAGAACATCAACTGTTGCTATTAGATGAACTTCAGTAGGTCTATTCCCAATTAATATCCCCTATTTTCTACATTTATACACATCAATAATGTAACAACATTAATATTCAGAAGGTCCTATTTATTCCTCTTACTTATCTAGATGCTTTATATTTAATGTCCGGCCAAGGATCGTTTATTGAGTACAGTATAGGCATGAATGAAATCCATTTCGTATGAAACAAGGGGGAGCAACACAGAGCATGAACTAACATGTATCTCAGCGTTTACCCCTGTTACCAAACCAGTATTTACCCAGGTTTTTTTTCCCAAATCTAAAACTTATACAATTTATACCCTTGTTTCATGTTGAAACTTTTAATAGGCTATTAATATCCCCTTTGACATGTCCATTCTCTCATGCCTCTATCATGTCACCCCTATTTCTTCACCTTTCAAGAGAATGTAATTTAAGCTTTGCCAATCTTTCTTCAAGGATTGCTTATCGAGCATAGGGTGAATATACACTGCTTGTGACAGGATAAAGCTACTCTTCTCCTGGAGCCAAGTTGATAAATCCTGAAGAAAAGTCATCTCCTACTTTGCGAGGTGTGAATGTGTGGATGAATGAGGGAAGGCGAGCCACCACTGTTGGTGTTCAATCTATCATTTTTGTATTTGTTACCTAGTGTTGATTCCTAGGAATCACCAGTCTGGCTAGAGTTAAATTTCATATGGCATCTGCAGTGGACAAAATTTTGCTAGCCAAGATAACGTGTTGCTCTGACAGGTCATTAGTTCATGTGGTAATACCCAGTCAGCTGCGTTGTCTGATCATTAGGACCACACAGTGAGGGTCATTTGTGACCCAAGTGTTCAGACTTGTCATGTAATTATTTATTTCACACTAAATGGAGTCTTTGTAACTCATTTGGTACTAAGTATTTAATTACTGTCTCAGGGTTGGCTGAGGGTAATCTCTACATATTAAGTATGTGGTCAGTGGACCAGTTATATAATTGTGATTACATTGTGTATATTATTGTCAGTTGTTATTGTGCATTCTCTTTCAGTGATTATTGTTGTATCATTGGTGTGTACCTTGATCTGTTACAATTCTGTGTTAAGATATTATTGCTGTTTTTTTTTTTAATGAAATCTAATTCTAGATATAGACATACTATCAGGAATTCTAAATATAGTCTTCTCACTACAGGCTGCAGAGGGCACAGGACTTGCCTTCATCGTGTTTACACAAGCTATTGTAGAATTACCAGGGAGCAATTTCTGGTCAGTTTGCTTCTTCATGATGTTATTAGCACTTGGTCTTGGCTCTCAGTTTGGTACTATGGAAGGAGTCATCACAAATATGTTCGACATGAAGGTCTTTGCCAGAGTTCGGAAAGAAATTTTGACAGGTATGTTCATGAAAGCTTAATATTTTGTCATAGAGGTACAATAGTATTTAGAAAATTGTCATGCTTCGAATTTATTTTTATCACTGGTAGATCATGTGTCCTTTTCCCTTATTGTCATTATTGTACTTATAGAAATACAAAATTATTCTGCAGTTGTTGTGTTATTCTTGTTTGTTCTCTTTTTAAATTTAGGTCTGTAAATAATGCATAAATTCATGCATAAATGTTGTCAGACATTATGTAAACATTTCATATTTTATCAAACTTCACTTTTTAATTCTTAATAAATTCCCTATTGGAATTTAAATTTTACATTACACTTTTAATTTCTAATTATATAATGCGTATTTTCTACCTTAAGTTATTATCTAAAGAATCTAATACATTAATTCATTTAGAAACATGATAGAGCCATTTCAATTTATTCACAGGCTTGTTTTATGTAGACACTTTCTCCATAACATGTTAAGGTGGGAAATCTGAAACGAGTACACACATTTCGGTGTCGCTGCACGCTCGCCCGTCAGGAGCAGAAGTCAGAGTCTGCAGTGTGTCCGCACCGTGCGCGATAGTGCTAATCATTCCTTGTCCTTAGAAACCTTTAACCCTTGGAGGTGTAAATCATATACCTGTATATATGAACAAATGAACATAAATCATGTCTATATGATTTTGGTCTAACTGCCTGGATGGTGCATATCATATACTGTATATATGATTTAGAGATTAGAAATATTTAAAATAGTCATGCACATACACAGGGCTCACATGTGCTTCCTCAGGCCACCAGTATCCATACACCATCTTGAAGAACAATCTAGACTCCCTCACTTTCCTTCTAGAGCCTTAATAAAAACAAATGAGGACCATTTATGACAACATTTCCATCCAGTGTCTGAATATTTAAGGCAGCCATAGAGGGGACAATAATCTTTTTTTTCAACATTAAATGAGTGATTACATGCATATATATTATCCTTGATATATTCCTTCATTTATATCAGATTAGACAATGCTTTTATGCATTTCAGTTACAGATGTAACCTATTATTAGTTTATTTATACAAGTATTAAGGCATTTGACATAAATTATAGCTATGATTTATACAATAATTTGTATTTGCTCCTTATTTGTAATTTTGCAGCTATAACTTAAATACTATGAGCAAAAGTATTTCAAGGCATTCCCTTTCATTGTGCACAATTCATGTAAATGTAAGCACTTCTATCATTGTTATGTATAAGTTCTAAGAATTATCTCAGACTTATAGAGTGCAAATTCTGGAATTATAGATATGAACTGTGTAATGTTTTTAAATTTTCCTCTCCTCAGGTTGTGTGTGCTTGTCCAGCTTGCTGTTTGGCTTGATTTTCTGCACAGGTGCTGGTGAATATTGGGTTGGCATGTTTGACACCTTTGCTGGCTCCATGGGCTTGATCACCATTGCCTTCTTTGAGACTATAGTCATCTCTTATGTGTATGGACACAAGAAGTTTTCTGATGACATTGAGAGGATGATTGGTGAACGACCTGGGATCTACTGGCAAGCAACATGGAGGGTCATCTCTCCTCTCACCATATTCTCAATCGTTGTCGCCTCTGTCTATTACAGAATCACTCATCCCCCTGATTACCCTGCCTGGAAAATGGAAGAAGTAAGATAATACATACACTCATTGAACTATAGTAGTAGACGATATTTTTGTGACAAATTTTGCATAATTTGACTCCACGTGTGATAGAATGAGGGAATCTGATGTGGCACAAGCATGAAAAACTAAAAGTTAGAGAAATAGATCATTTGAAATGCATTTGTAGTGCAAAAGTTGAAATAATATTCAGGAGAGTTTGGTAAGGTGTTTTGGTAAAGAAAGTGTACTCCAGTGAATCATAAGAGGAGAGTAAAATGGGCAGACCTGGTGCTTACATACCAATGCTTACCTATAGGGACTTACCTCCTAGCCATCTCTAGATGGTAGATAGGAGATAGAATAGTCCTAGATGATGGAGCCAGAGTGCATGGGGGGGGGGGAGGATTGTGGAAATCTTGTTCCAGCTTCAGTAGAAGCCTCAGGAAATCCTAGTAGGTTCAGTAGAACTCCAGGTTGCAATCCTTATGCCATGTCGTGGTCTAGTCGCTAGAAGCATGTACGTGGTGATAAGATAATTGTTACGCATGTTACTATGGTATGCACATGCAGCAAAACACCTTTCATATTAATGGCTTCATTTGATATGCAACCTTAGTACCTACAAATTAACCACTGTGTAATATATAGTGTATATTTTATTTATTATTTTTATTATTACTATTATTATTATTATTATTATTATTATTATTAATCTTGTTGTGTTATCCACAGGGCTTTGCTATTAAGGAGCCATATCCAGGCTGGGCAATGTTTGTATGCATGTTGCTGCTTTTGGGTGGCTTCCTTCCCATCCCCATTGTTTACTTCATGAGACGTTGTCAGTGCATACGCTTCGACACCGACATTCACCAGGCCTCGATCAAGAGAGTCGAGACTACAATTTCCACTCAAGGCATGATCAAGGGCGAAGAGGTAAGCTGATCAAATATTGCATATATACTGTGTTGATTGTATTGGAGGGATTTAAAAAATAATCATTGGTTCATATTACTTGTTGTGATGTGTGTACATAAGGTTTTGTATTATTATTTTAGCCTGAATATTAACCAAGCAAGGTTTGCACAGATAAGCAGCGTGCAACCTAATTATTATTTCACCTTTTTATGTAACTTTTTCAGTTAAAGCTGCATTTGTACAATCAGTATAGTTGTGCTGACCAAATGCAACAACATGATAACTGAGGAACTTTCTGAATCAAGGTTTTAGAAACTATTTTCTATAATAGCAGACAGTTTACAGAATGACTACAGGGATTTAATTCAGCGTCAGAAACAACTTGCAGAAACCCTTACCAAAATTGTAATTCTTGAGAATTTGATGATACAGCGAACAGACCTTTTCATTACAATTTAAATTTTTTTTATCACAAATCATAAAACTCTTTAAAGGTTTAAATACCTTTACTTCAAGAGGTTTGGATCAAATTATGTCCGGACAGATGGCGAGTGTGCTGGAAATACAGAAATTTTGTAACATACAATTTTGGAATTGTAAATTACTCTCTTGGCAGAATTATTTTTCTTGACAAAAGTATTTATTTTGTGTATAAATGACAAAACTAATTTTGAGAGAATGTGTTCAAATGAAAGAATGCTAACAGTTGACATTGATATGTGGAATGTATGACAGATAATATATTGTGGCACTATTAGCACTATTATTATATAGTGATGATGAATTACAACATCACTGTGAAGAGGGAGACTAAACTCTAACTAAACTAAACTCTTCATAGAGTTTGGGTTGATATTTTCTGTTCTACTCGAAGTGAAAGTGGTAAAGCAATACAGCAGAAGAAGGTAATCAGTCTGTCAAAAGTAAATTGTTGATGCTGTGTGCAAATGATAAAAGCAGAGGTAAGATGAACCAACAAAATGGCTAGGATGGCTGCTCATGGAGAAGGCAAAGAAGTGTCATATAATATGTGTAAATGAGCAGTGTTTGCATAGTGATGGCTGGCTAAGCCCCTTCAAATGGTACCATGGCATTGAGTATGTAAAAGTATGCAGAGAGAGAGGGAGTCAGCTGATGGAACTTTAGCATCTCAGCCTAATTCTTTTGTAGAAGTATCTTTAGCTTGTATACAGCCCACAGGCCCTGTAGTTCAAATGAAGGGAAACCATACCCAGACAGTTCTTTAAATGTTGGGACTGTTTAATCTGGAAGGTCTACACAAACCTCCATCCCTATTAAAGCTATAACTGCCTGTAAGAGACCATTCTGGATTAGAAAGTTTCCCCCTCCCATTCAAGGGGCTATACAGAGGTCTAGTCTCCTAATACTTCTGAGGGCATCCTCTCTCAGACGGATTAGGAAGAGGTACCATCATGTACCGGCTATTACGCCTCCCTCCCCCCCCAAATGGGGGATGTGGGAGAGGGTGAGTGGTAGGGGCATTCTAGCCGGCGGTAGATCACTAAATTTTTGGTGGTGGTTTTCATTGTTGGGGGAGTTCTTTTGGCAGTTTTGAGGCTGTGGTCTCGTTTTTAAACCATGCAGTACAGTAGTTTGATTTAGTTTGCCTATCTTTCTGGGTGCTTTCTTGGTAGTGGCAAGTATGATCAAACTTTAAATGTGAAGTTTTCATAGGCCATTGCTCCCTACACCTCTCTGAGGGGGCCAGGTTCTGGCTCATGGTACCCAGTAGGCTAATAAGAACTCTGTAACTGATGGCTCCTGATAGTATGGCACTGAGCAGTATATGATAGCTTCAAGGAGCCTCTGGGGCTCGCCCAGAAATTGGCATTTTATTACATTCATTGCTGGGTTTTTATAAGAAAATTTATGTATGTCTAGTCTTGGATAATTGTGCCAATTTCCAGCCTGCCTCCTCTGCTACCTTTTTCTGAGGTAGTTAAGTGGCCTATGCATCCAGTTTTTGTTTGCATCCAGCTTTTGGTTTCTCAGTCTCCTAACCTTCCCTGTTTAATTGGACTCTAAAATGTCCTCGGCTGTAGGACCTGTAAGCACCAGGGGATAAAAATTGGAGGTTCAGGAGTTGACTTGTGACCTGCAGTGACCGTTGCATGTGCCTGACCATGCGACTAGCATAACCTTGCCTAATAAAACAACTAAGTGGAATATCTTTGAAATTAGTCTTTTGTTTTTAAGGTAGCTAAATACTGTAAAGTACAGTATTGTGTACATGGATGACAGAGTGGTGTAGGAGGACATGTATGGAAGATAATGTATGAATGAGAATTGCAGCTTTGTATACGTATTGAAATATTTCAGAAGTTGTGTCTTTCAATCTTCCATGCATTGTTCATTCTGAGAACTAGCCCTTTGAAGATTTTTTGCTGGATTACCTCTTCAGTAGCTCCACACTGACGATTACTGGTCAGACTAGTCACTGCCAAATACCATGAGTCTCATTGCCTACTGCAATTGCAAGTACAAGGGTCCTTGCACTTTCCCCCGTTACACCTACATGGTGGGAAGCACATGAGGCTCAGTACTAATACAGTACTGTACAGTACACTCTAAGGAACAAATCTGCCTCATCTGGCAGTTGTCAAGGGCAATGCCCTTGCTATTCAAGGAGACTAAAAGGTAGGTAGTTTTGTAGGTAGGTAGGTCAAGGTAGTTTTGGTCACTACCAAAAACAAGTGTTTAGTATTTCCTAAGGCTTTTAGTTCTGCATAGTGGTTATATGCTATTGTACACTTATTACCATCTGCCTCAGCTTCTTTCAGGGCTCTATTCCCTGGCACTGTTGGCAAAGATTATTTATTCTCCACCAGGTGTTGACTCTCTTCTAATCAACCCTTGGCCTGGCATTGCTTTTAAGCCCTGTTGCCATGTGAGGCTTCTTACTGAAGCAAGTTGAGAGGGAGGTGTAGTATTTAGTATTTTTACTTGCTTTAGCATGTTACTACTGTTACCAACACTCAAGGCATAGGGTTCAGTGCTGTACCACCAGGTGTCATGTGAGGAGGCTGTCTTTTGTCGACATTCCTCCCATGGCTGGTGGTTCGTCCCGTTGTATCATTCAGGTAGATTCATTCTGCTGTCCTGTATGTCAGAAACATTTGTGTTCCTGTGGAGACTGCTCTTCTTTGGATATGTAATGCTGAGCTCAGTTTAGCCATGTGAGAATGATAGGACTATGTACTGTCATTTAGGATTTGTACTTGAGAGATGTGTGAAATAACCATTTGTTGGTGTTTTGATAGATGTATATATATCTGGTCTCTTCTGGTGGTTTCTTTTCCCCCTCCTCACTCAAGTTGGGCAGATGGTCCAGCACCTGTCTTTACTTAACAGTGACTATAGGGGAGTGAAGTTGAAGCCATTAAAACCTGGCTCGCTAATTACATCTCAAGACGTTGAAGTTCATCATATCTTTTCTTAAAGTTGTGGGTAGAATTGGCTTTTGCAACTTCTTCCCTCAATGCACTCCATAATAATTTCTTTATATCACTACAACTTAATTGTGTATCCAGCTTTTATTGATGTCCTCTTGTTCTACCTCCTCTCAATTCAGGTAGGCTGCCTTTGCCCACATTGTCTATTCCCCTCAGTATCTTGTATGTATGTATGTTGCATGTTTATCAGGTAGGTTTGTTTATCTCGTTTCTCTGCTGGCTGGGTCAAGATCTTCATCCTTACCCAGTTTAGAACCTTGACTCAATTATTTTGTTAGCCACATTCCAGGGGCATTCTTTGGGAATTCATAGTCTCCTGTAGTTGTCCGTAGGAAGTAGGTGGTTGGCCTTGTGCTCGTGCTTTGGGGAGGTTTGTTTTAATTAAGTCTCTAAGGCAACCTCCCATGCTAGCTGTGCTTATTGGGTTTCCACAGGAATGTGCACTTGAGGTGTGCAGTTGCTCCCTTTTGTTATTTGGTTTTGGACAAGGGGTAATTACAAGAGCCCTTGTCATCATTTGGCAATGAGTTTCATGAGCACTTGACGTTAGTTAGTCTGATCAGTAATGGCAAGTGCTTAAACTCAGGGAAGCTATTGAGGGGTACCCTGACAGAGGCATTTGATTACATTTATGTAGGTTGTATCTCAAACATTTTAATTAAGTAACATTTGTGTTCTGTAAAATAAATATACTGCATTGTAATATGTAGAGACAAATTCAGAGATATAAATAGTGAATTTTTGTTTTGTTTTGTTTTGTTTTGTTTTACGAATTAACTCATAAATTATTATATATAAAACAAATTAAAATAAAATCTTGCCTAAATACTCTCTTACTGCAAGTAACTTGGTAAAATGTAGATTACATCAAGCCTACTGGCCATACCTTATATTAGCAGTTTGTACAGTATGTACCAACTCTCTCTTACAGCCAATGCCTCGAATCGACACTTCTGATAGCGAGTGGACACGTCTCTTCATTGATAGGGTAGATTCATCCAACAGCCTTGATGATAACCTCTAATGAAAGAGGTTGAGGTGTGTAGGGAAAACTGTAGATGATAACACCATAGCACATTTTTGTATGATAATAATGAGTACATATTTTTTTTTCATAAAACTATTAGTGAAGTACTAAGCTTACATAAATATCTGCCAATTAGTAATATAATAATCAACTCATTATTTACAAAATTATATGAAGTTTATTTTGTTAAAACACTCCTTGCTGAGAATCTTTTGATGATTGGCCATTTAATGTAGCTTGGCTCCTCACATCAAGTCAAGCCCTCGAGTGTTTGCTTAAAGTTTTCTAATCCTAGAAAAGTTTGTGCCAATTATATCTTTAAAAATACAAGTCGTTTAAGACCACTTACGAGTTTTTCTAATGCTCAATAACCCATCTGCATATATTTTGGGTGGGCCACCCTCAGTAGCTTCTTTGACCTTATGTGCTGGTATAACCATGTTTTGGAATTTGACCAGACCTCTGAGACACACACTAACCTACCAGGAGCCGGAACCAAACTCTGGCATTCTACGAGGCAAGGGAGCTTGTGGAAAGACATCTACTCAAAACCAAGAAAGACCTATCAGAAAAGTTGGGCAAAGCAAAATGACTGATGTAAATAAAGCAAATGATCATTGCCATGCGCAAGCAGCCTGAACCTTAATGCTTCCGATTGTAGGTCAAATCACCTGAGGTCCCAGTCAGTTGCCCACATCACTCCCTCACCTGGTGTCAGAATTCACAACTCTGCAGTGAACCTTTATCTCTGGAACATTGGTCCTGCATGGGACTATTGCTTTCTTTTTTATGGATTTATGTTTCAGAGTTGTATTTTGTACTACAGTACGTACCTTGTATGTTCCCTGACTTATATCTCACTCCAGCGGCGAACCAGGACTTTCTCTTCTGGTGGCTTGCTTGCATTTTCCTTTCTCCACCAGAGATATTGTCACTGACGGGTTGTTCCTCCTCCTCTATGAATCGGCTCATCCTGAATCACCTTGCACCTGGATAATGTGTGGTAATTGCTCTCCACTGGAAGACCTGTTGATGGCAAGTTGACGTAGTTAGCTTTGGGCTTGTGTGTATATTGCACCTGGTCCTGATTCATGTGTGTTTTAGTGTCTTGTATTTTTCCAGATTTGTGCTTGGGCATGTTAAGCAGTTCTTATATATAGCTAAATACGGGTTAGGGGTATGAGCTGCCAACAAGAGTTTCCTAGTGCCTGGCAAACCTGTTCATTTACCTAACAGTCAAGGCAGTTTGTGTCCACAAAGAGATCTATTTACTTCATCTTTGCTAACAGTTGGCTCCTGACAAATTTTACAACCCATTCAGTACTGGATATCACTGCTTGCAGATTTCTTGCATTGTTGAATGCCAGTGACTATTTCTATTACCTTCATCATTTTGCCTATAGGGTACAAGAATCCTTTCACCCTTAGGTGTGTGTGCCATTTGTTGGCACTGAACCTCTCAGGATACAGACTTGTTGCAAGACTGGCCTTTACGCTATGAGCTGTTTCATACCCTGGTTACCACATGTGGTGATGTGAAGTTTCAACAAATGTTCTCTGCAACTCTTGTTTACCTTCAAGCTGCCAGCACATCTGGCTGTCATTTTATTCATCCTTCCGACTTCTCGTTGGTTTGGGCACGCATCATGTTGCAAGAGTTTGTGGTAGTCTGGATGACGTTTTAGTACATTTGTCTCCCATAGGGCACTACTATTGACTTTTTGAGACTTGATCCCCAAGCACCTTTTTCTTCGTAGAGAGAGCCAGATACCTGTTCTTGCACCTAGGAGGTTAGTGTGGGTCTTAAAGCATGAAAGATCTGGTAAGAAACTGAGGACTTGCCAGAAAAGGGTGTTTCATTATGTTAAACACTTAATTTTTTAAGTAACTTTTACTGAGCTGTCATATTTAATTGCTTTCTTAAGCAAGATCTCCCACCTTTTATATATTTTGGTGGGATCATGGACAGTTAGGCAAGACAGCATACTAGCATTAGTGCCATTGGGAATTTTCAAACATTCTTGCAGGTTTATATTGATGCTAAAGATTCATTGAAGAATATTCAAGTCAACCAAGGGTATTAGACAGAGGTGAATACATAATCATTTAAAGTCATTCCAGGCTTTCCTTTGAGATTGCTGGGATTGGCAGTGAGAGCTCTTAACAATTAAAAGATGTGTTTGGTCACTTGCACCAACTACCATCAGGTGGCAGCACTGTGCTTATCTTTAGGTTCCCTGAAGGTGCCATACACATTTCCTGACAGTTATCCCATATGCAGTTAGCAAGCTGGAACCAGATTTGTTTTATATTTCAGGCCAATAAGGAAAATATATACAGTACGTGAATTGGAACTTGCAAAGATACACGTTAATGAAAAGTAATCAAGTACTGTACTGTACACTGACAAAAGTTATTGTTTTCTTTTGTCATGGGGTGTCTTGAAAAACAAATGATGGCAACAAATTGGTGGCCATAGTGAGCTGGTGAACTGGGTATGGTACTGGAATCAGCACCGATTCTGATTTATGTGAGAAGAGCAGATTGACTGTTAAGCATTTGCTGCTAATAGTGCTGTACATGCAGATTTATTTACTAGTACAGGGACACCTTATTATCCCACTCAATGGTGACAAGGCAAGTTGACCTTTACTGCAAAGGCACAGTAAGTAAACCATAATATTTTTGTACAGACTGTGTTTTTGTTGTATATAAACAATTTGTTTGATGGCATTTTGTGTGTTACAATATTAAGAAATACATATATTATTTCTAAAGAAAAAGGCAGTACTGTACAGTAATTAAAGAAAAGCTGGATAAAACACAATTTTTTCATGGATGAATTAAAAGTGCAGTGCAGTGTTCTGTACTATGTATTGTGTAGTATAAAATGCTTTTTGTGTCAGTGAGCTCATACCACATCTTTCATGGTGCTTTGGAAATCAATCCTGGTATGTAGAGGCCTGCCGTTCTATTCACATTGTAAATTCAGTTATCTTGTTTTGTGTGTGGACAGATCATTTACTGTACCCATCAGGTCACACTTGGCAGATTGGTGGTTGGGATTTGTTTTGATTTATTTTAGGTGTCACATGAATCTCAAATTTTTTGTCAGGTGTCCCTATAGAGTTACGTACAGTATATAATTGATTCCCATGCTTGTATGCTTTGCCACCTGGGCCTCTTTTTGTATAATACTTTGGTCACAGGCAGAGGACTTGGTGATCTGTCCAAGGTTTTGTAAATCTTGGTTTATAATTTAGTGCGTGGTGAGTGGGAAAAGACACCTTGGGAGACTTAGAAAACTGCTATAAGCAGTACTTTGTGTTAGGTCTTAAGAGTATTTACTTTGTAACTGATGTTTGGAAAATTATAATTACGTTATCTGCCTGGGTAATATGACATGTTAATTCTTATTAGACCTGCTTTCTTGGCATTATGGTGAATCTCTCTGGAACCATGCAGTTCTTCCAGGAAATTATAGATCTTTGAGTTAGGATAAGGGGCTCTAGTCAAGGTTCTGTTCCTGTTGTTTCAACTAAGTCGGCTTTGACTCGTATGTCATCTACTAAGAGTTTAGCTTCCTCATACAGACGATGAGTCACAATAACATAGCTGAAGATATGATGACCATACTACACATCAGAAGATGGAGAAATGATGATGTTTTGATCCATCATGGACCATTATCAAGTATTATCACACATCACTTGATAATCGTCCAGGATGGACCGAAACGTCGTCATTTCTTGATCTTATGATGTGTGGTTTGGTCATCATGGTCAATTGTCCTCTAGTAGCTGCATGTAAGGCTTCATTCCAATCTCACGGAGGCACTACTCTAGTGGGTGTGAGGTTGAAGATTTGGAGTACTGAATTTATCTGAATTTACCCAAAGGCCACTATATATAGTGGCCTCGACAAGGATAGGAAGCCAGCAGCTTATCAGTGGTTTCCCCCACTATTCCTGAGGTTTTGTCAGCAGAATTTGTGTCTGGTGAATTGGCTTGGCAATCTGGCTGGAAATTCTGGCAGCTGTTCTGTTAGCAGGTGTTCAAGTGGAAGAAAGTTTCCCTTATATTTGCATTGTTCTTTAGGGAAAGAACAATGCAATACAATGCAATGCAAATTCTTTAGGGAAAGAATTTAGGTTTTCTGATTATGGCTCTCTGTGCACCTCTGTGTGAGGCAATGATTTTTCTTCTGCAGTAGCAGTGGCTGTAGCTATGCAGGTGTTTGCTCCAGTTCTGTGAGATTCAGAGGTGGACTCCTGTGTTGAACACCTTGCATGCAGGCATGGTTTAGAGAAAACTTGAAACTTAGCTTGAAACTTCTCTTTCTATTTTCAGCTTTTTTTCCTCTGCCTTTTGTGTTCTGGTACTGATGGAGGTTTGTCTTTATTCTAGCTATGATCTAGTGTGTTACAGATGATAACAGGTGTGACTAATTCGTCTCATGGATTGGGAAATAGTGGTTCAGCCTGCTTGGGGTTGAGGTTCTGGATTGCAGGTTTCTTTCCTGGGACCTAGGTGCAGGCCTTGAAGAAGTCTGCAAGCTACGTAGCTTCATTTTCTATCATGTTCTGCTTGGAATTCAGACTTCGGATATTTTGGCCAATTTTCTGAATGTTTACAAAAATGCTTCCACCCTTAATATTCTCCACATGGGCTGCTAGTATGTGACTTAAGTTGGACATTCATCACACCAAACCTGTTTGTTTGTTTGTGACAGCTCATTAGTTGTGTTGCCTTTCAGTTTTTATTGTTGGGCAATGTTTATTTCCACCTTCTAACTTGAATCGGGCACCACTTTGCATCACAGGTATATTAGCCTGTTGCTTTTGTTAGTTTAATTTCTGTTCTTTTAATACATTAGAGAGCAATGGAATGTGATAGCTCAGAAATACAGCTTTGAGGGAATATATAATGTAAGTTTCTGAATAGAACTATTGCCTTATTTTCTTGCATGTCGAGTTAAATACAGTAGAACCTCGAGTGACGATCGCCTCAAA